AATCAATACTAATTTCGAAACCAACGTTGTGAGCGTTGCAGTCTTACCTTGGAACATATCCCTCAGTTTTCTATCGATAATTTCATAATCAACGGTGCCAGGCGGTCCCTGAATTCCTGGGGGGCCTTTTGGTCCAATCTTACCAGGCCTTCCCTGGTTTGCATGTCCAATCGAACCATTTTCGTCAATACAGTGATGATGCATTTGCGTAACGTGCTCACAAAAATTGTCGTTCGGAGTAGACAAGCATGGTGCTATCACGACTACAACAAACATTACTATTGTTTCCATATCTATGTTAATGTATGGCTAGGAACGTCTCAATTTACTTTGAAACAAAACAATAATCTATCAACCATATTCTAATTTAAAAATAGAATTTCCTTGCATTGTGATACTTTTTATTTCTTAAATAAAATCATTTGACCCAAAACGATGCGTGATCCACATGCGTTGGTGATTTTATGCAAATGTCGTTTGCTTGTCCTCGTTTCACGTGAATAATTTTTGGAAAATGCAATTATGCGGTAACAGTTTTTTTCGCAAATGTAGTTTTGTTTTCGCGAAGTATACTTATGCAGGATTGTGATTTTAGCAGAATGTATACTTAATCCTCGCAGAAATAATATCGCCTCCTTCGTAATCTATTGGGTAAATGAATTGAATAAAGTATGAAATGCGAAAATTTCGTAATGCTTTACTCATAGATGTAAATGAAGCATCTGAGATTGTTGATTGTTTGTCTTCGCAAGTAAATGGATTTTTTAATTTATTGCTTTTGTGTAATGACAAATCACTGTTTTTCCGCGGAAGATTCATGCTGCCTCAACTATTTATACACATACAATATTTCTAAAATACACTATTACTTCATAATTCTTTTACTCTAATACTCTTTTCCATTACGAATACCATACAAATCTTATAAATCGAGCTGAAAAACTAAACCACTTACGCTTATCTTAGATAAGCAAACCAGACGTTGCGATTTTATATTCCAAGTATGATTCTCAACGTTGGTATGTAATATTATACCATGATCCTAGAAGCACAAACAGACTTTATTGTGGTTAAAGATTTGAATAAACACTCTCTCAAATGAGATGAAATAGACAATTCGTTATTACGTCACTCTACACCTCTTTGTGATTCCCTTATCAACTTTTATTGTCTCTCCGGCGTATAACGGCCGGTACGTTTTCTAGTCCGTTTGTGCGTCTCCTTTCAAGCATTGCGAAAAACAAAAGTCTGCACTAGAAGTCTAGATATATCTTGTAAAACAGTCTCGTTATTTTGATAACAAAACATAACAACGATTATGCCAAACAGGCGGAATGAACTTTGGGTGATAGATCGCAAATAGTTTGAAGGTAAATGAAAAGCTTAACTCTTGCATTATATTTCCATGCATTGTCAATTTGTGGATTATGGCATGAAGCGGAACATGGCACAGTTTTGGGGCGTCCATTCAATAAATAGTCTGGCGGTAAATATTTCATAACATCTGGCTCATGAATACGTATGATTGACACGGTTACCATGGTAATATTGACTGAACCCCATAAGCGAGTACAACTTAATAAACTAACCCTTTCAGATGGAAAACTAGTAAATTGTCGAGCATTATTGAGTCGATAGTACTCGACGCATAGTCCGCAACATTTACCATTCCCATAGATTCGAGATATTACAATGATTCCAGAATATTCTTGTGCGATGCAAAATAACATAATATGAAAAAAACGCCGCTGGCATGGAACACATTTATCGTCTCGCCCGAGCCCATCTTTCTATTCGGTACATACAATTGTCGTATCGTTTGAGTGATTTGCAATTGGTGGGTGTGTTTTGTTTTCAGTAGGATCAGAGTTGTTATGGGTCGATTGTACATAACAGCGCAGTATATAAGCTTATCACCATCTTTACAGTATAGCGCATATGTGACTTTTTGAAGAACGATGTGAATCGATAACGGCATGTGATTTTATTTTTTGCATTGTAATCAATAGTCTATTTCTATTGCAATGATTGCCTTTTTTGAACTGCGAAACACTTTTTATATCGTAAATTGTTTGCGGGACGCCAAATGAGAATTTCAGATTTTTTGAAAAATAAACGATCCAATTAAATCTTGATCATTTTTTTCATAGAAATGAAATATCGATATGTTATCGACCCAAGTTGAAAAATCAAATTCAAATTGTGCGGCTATACAGGAAGCTTATGTACAAACTAAACTTGTAATGCTAGAAAACGTTAAAATGCAACGAGGATCACCTAAGACAGGTAATAAGTATCTAGAAATAGCAATGTCAGTTTTATGATATCTAGCGCATTGGTTCCCAACCGCCGGTGCGCGAAGTTTTTTTGCCGGTCCGCGGAAAATTTCATTGGGTTGTTATTCTGCCGTCTCAGTCGATTTACCGAAGACGAAGTTACGTTAGTTTACGCAACTTCACTTCCGCCGTCATATTGCTGTTTGATAAGCCGGTATTAATGGCCCGGCGACGTCATGGCGCCAAAAATCATACTTTTCGCTTTCGATTCATCGCAAATGCGCTCCGCCAAATCTCGCAAGATTCAGACACATAAAAATCAGCGTGCGTGCTTTTTCCGTTCTGCTTGCTTTTCTTGATTAATAAGATAAAGTTCGCAATTTTTCTTCCGTCGTCATATTGCTGTTTGATAAGTGCGGTATTAATGACCCAGCGACGCCTAGGCATCGAGTAATCACACTTTTCGCTTTTTGGCTCCGATTCATCGCGAAAGCGCTACATCAAGTCTCGCAAGATTCAGAAACCTGAAGCATGTGTGCTTTCTCCGTTTTGCATGCTTTTCTTGAATAATATTACCTTCCAAATAAAAGGTTATGAATATTTCTTTGTTTACACCGAAAAAAAAATGTCAAGAACAGTATATTATTCCACCTTGACACCCAACGAAATATGAATTTGTTGCGACGCTGCAGGTGGTCACGAGACGCAACAAAAGCATGACCGTGGGGATATTTTCCGGGTGATGCACAGCAGGATTTTGAGCCTGGTGCCACGTTAGCAACGACTTTATCATTGTAATATAAATTCATTTTTTTGGGCGTCGATCAACTGCAGAGGGATTGATATGATGAACCCGACGAAACCTCTACTTTACAGTCCAAATTTATAAAAGATTGTCACAATCCAGTCTTAAGCTCTCTTGATAACGAATACCCATCGCTAAGCAATCAAACTGTTGTCCGAATTTTCAACTAGTTACTTCTAGTTTCAATTAAAACGAAGCAAATAAATCGACTGTGAGCCACTTCTTAGCTACGTGTTGCAAAACATTTTTGACGTCTCCTTTGCAATTTGTATTGTAAACGAAACAGCAGCGAAATTCTCACTGAAGTTAATTGCGTTTGCACATGATTTGGGCATGTACATGATTTGGCATGTACCGGTACATGTTTTTCAGTGAGATGTGTGCCTTTTTTACGCATATTGGGTGCCCAGCACTGCATTTTATCACGCAAATATATGTTATTATTATTTCATGTTCCACCCATTCTGTTTTTGGCCGGCACATTATTTGATAGTTTTTCCTTCCTTTTCGTGATTGCCCGACGTTATGCAAATATATGTTATTATTTTCTGTTCCACTCATTTTTATTTTTGCTGTTCCGCCAGTACTTACCGGTCCGCCAGGGTAGAAAGGTTGGGAACGACTGATTATTATTATTCTAGCGCACGCCTACTTCGGTGAGAACAAGTCTTTTATTCTGATATAGATAGAAGATAGACAAACACGTAGTTTTTTTTTAACGATCCTCAATTTTAGGTTTTGGACTTTTTTTTATCGAATATCAATCATAGTAAGAAGAGTAATTGATAAAACCTGCGTTACACGTTATGACTGTCGCTGGAAAACTGCCAAAGTGGGCGATATCGGTAAAGAATTTTAGCCCAGTCTATCACAGCTATTTGTACTCTAATTTTTGATTACTGTAATTAAACTGAAACTCCTAGGAGGACAAGGTGTTCATTGACTTATTTTCTTTTAATTTCCGAAAAACAACTAAAAACCAACGAATATAATTCGAAATCGCGAAAATGAGGTAATCTTCACGACCACGCCTGAAAGTCTGTCTGAGTGAGGACTGTGCCTGAGCGGATGCGAAAGGGGGCATTGTTACGTTTATTTTTGCATCTTGCTGATTGGCCAATGTCACGAAGTAAACAAGGAAATCTTTCTTTGCCAGGGGAAACATCCAAACGGCGGTTTCAACGATGAATTAATTTTATTTATTATCTACGCTCGAGAAGTAAATTACATTTTTTTACGTAACAGAATTTATCGTGAGACACGTTTAGACTAAATTTCATTATATCCTAAAAATTATATTGAACAGCTATTCGTTTAACGAGCCTACGATTTACCGTAATTATAATTAGACAAATGGAAACACACAGAAAAGTTGATGCTGAGTGCAGGGGTTCAATAGCGCAGTAAATATTTGAATATATTGCAATGCAATAAAGAAATCAAATTCATATTCTATTCATCACTGCTTAATTTTTGTAAGAATGAGGAGGTAGAACCCTGGATTTTTTCATTTCCGACCTCTGATATGACGAAAAAGGGGTTTTCAGCCGTGACACTATTGCTATCAAAACAACTAAATCGCCTTTCCACCAGTAAACGGGGTTATTTTAGATATAAAAAAAACTCGCTGAAGAACACCAAGCTCATCCATCGCATTAAAAAACACTATAAAGACTTTCAATTTTTTTTGCTGAGCCGGGGAGCGATGAAGTTGTATAAACTAGTGTAGGGGGGCGATGGTACAAAAAGTTTGGGAACCACTGTTCTAGCCTACTATCTTCGCAAATATTTGTTTGTCTCAAACGTCAAAATAAATTAAGTTGAAAAGTATTTTAACACGATTCTATAGTTTCATTGGAATTAATTTTTGCATGAAATCCCTGTCGATGATGATTACTACGATTTGAGAGACCACGTGATCGAAGCGTTAGAGTTAACTATTTTGACATTGCAAATCACACATATTAATCGGAATTACAAAACAAAGTTAACTATAAAGTATATGGTGGAACGATACGACACTATACTTCATCAAAATAAGTTCAAAGCACATTGCTCTGCAGTATCTTGTATATTCTATACATATATATATATATACATTGAAATATTTTCCAGCTCGTTGTACATCTCACATTTTATGAAGTTGGTCGGATTTTCATTTCCGTGAATTTGAGGGAGTAATTATATCCTTTCCATCCATGCCAATTGATTCCATCTGCATAAGTAGAGTGTGCACCACCTTTATGGTATTTTCCGTTAAGATTGGCTATATGGCATTTACCATACCACCACGCTCCCTTGTACGCTGAAGCGCAATTGTTGGGCCAAGTATCGTGATCGCGGTCTTTGGTTGAAAATTTCATCCCGTTTTCTCGCGACATTGAGTCCGTAGCATCGCCAGAATAAGCACCGAGATTTATCCGATACTTCGTACTTGCACTGCCGATCTTGAAAGTTCTGCAGACATTAAATATATATGTTAACCTGGCTGGTGGAGAGATAGATACTGAAACCCTTTAAATATGTACATGATTTTCAGATATATATATATATTCTTACATTGAAAAAGTTTGAAAAAAACTCCAAGAATTTTTCATACCACAGAATGCAATAGAATTGAAAAAAAAATCGTTAGACAACAGTACCAATTTGGCATACAGTTTTGCAGTCTACTGTAAAAACCTGTTATTCAAGTTTTAAAATCGCATTTTTGTGAAAAATTGGAAGCTTTCTCCATATAAATGCGTGATACTATATAGTGTAAAATGAAATATAGTGCTGACGAAAATTTTAAATGTACGAGAGGAATGAAAACTCACGAGTATCTTGCGTATTTCTTCACGCCAGACCAATCTTCGAGATCTACTCTGAGTTCATAAGACCCGGATGACGTTATTTTGTGTAGCGTTTCAAGACCTAAAAGAAGAAAGATTTAGAACTTCAGTGTTAAGTAGTTCTTATACATTTCATTTATACCGTTTAAATAAAATATGTCAAAAACGCCGTATCAGGAAACCTTGTAATTTTTATTTAATGTTGTTTTATACCTAAACTATAGTCTGCGTAGCAGGATGTCAAGTTTGCTAATTGTTCAATAATTGTTTACGTTTGCCTAATTTATATATCTATTGATATATTTAAGTAAATTTTTCTTGATTGAACCTGGTGACATTGAAAAATGGAATTGTTTTTATCGCAAAAGTTTCACCCGATTCTATGGTAAAAACAAATGTAAATTTAAATTAATTTTATTGTATGACAATAGAAAAGTACAACATCCAACATCTATAACATCCAATTCAGTACAGGTTGACCATAAATCTTTTTACAATTAAAAATTAAATTATCATTAGGTTTTATGATCGGGCGAAACTTTTCGGTCACCCTGTATTTAAGTAATTTTTTCTTGATTGGACCTGGTGACATTGAAAAAATGGAATTGTTTTATCGAATATAAAGATTTAGCACATTCTGAGAAAGTTATTGCCAAAAAAATACGTATACAATATTCATTCATTCACCAAAGCAAAATGATTTCACGACCTAACATCGGAAAATTAAAAAACTCAAGAATGTCCAGTGAATGAGTTTTCCCAGAAGAAACTCCCATAACCTACCAAGCCAAAATTCCCCTTTTTTATTGCCGAATCCTGTTACATAGTCATTCCATGACCTGAAGAAGTCTTCACTTCCATCTTTTCTGCGTTGAAATACCTAAAAAAAGTTTTTTTTATTGTTCGTTGTTTTGTTAAATTGTTGTTAAAATTTTTTTATATACAGAGTGCGATTTGACGCCAATATTGGTCAAAATTTCTCACTACTGTATATAACATTTTAATCCTGCTGTTGGTAGATTAAACTATTATAGAAAAAAAAACCGACATCCAAACTAGGAACTCGACTATTTTCAATATTTAAAACAATCAAATCAATCGAAATGCGGTAACTGTATGGTAGCGAGTTATATTTATTTGTTTTACTTGAGAGATGATTTAAATTTTATATAATGTTTGGGATATAGTTTTGTTTGCTGGTTTCAAACTCCAGCATCCATCCGAATCAGAAGCTATTTTGGTTGGTCGCAATTGTTAACAAGTGAACATTATTTTACAATCCATCCTCCTCCATCAGTTTCCATATCACAATAAACTTCTGTCTGTTTTCGTCCTGGATATATATCAAAAATTCCCCCTGTCTCGCTAGTTGATTGTATATCTTCCATCGATACCTTACTGCAATCGGTTACTGTACGGACACGTAGTTCTGGAAAATTTACAACATAGCGTGAGCGCTTCGTACGGATATATATGTCTTGAAACATTCCACAATAATTTACCTTCTTTCAAATTCTCAACGGCAGCTTCACAACTTGCTACTTTTCTATTCAGCCGATTTTCAGTATCTTCAAAACAAAAATGGGTCTGTTACGATGTGATGCAAGTTAATATGGGAGAATGGTTTATCAAATGTATGTAGATTTCCAGGTGTTATATAGCTAAGCCTATTTTACACGCAATCTAAATGTTGTTTTCAACTCGACTGGAAGACCAACACTAAGTTCGAAACCAACGTTGTGAGCGTTGCAGTCTTACCTTGAAACATATCCCTCAGTTTTCTATCGATAATATCATAATCAACGGTGCCAGGCGGTCCCTGAATTCCTGCGGGACCTTTTGGTCCAATCTTACCAGGCCTTCCCTGGTTTGCATGTCCAATCGAACCATTTTCGTCAATACAGTGATGATGCATTTGCGTAACGTGCTCACAAAAATTATCGTTTGGAGTAGACAAGCATGGTGCTATCACGAATACAACAAACACTATTATTGTTTCCATGTCTAAGCTAATGTAAGACTAGGAACGTCTCAATCTACTTTGAAACAAAACAATAATCTCTAGATCCTATTTGAATTCAAAAATGTCATTTCCTTGTTGTTGTAACAGTTTATTTATTATAACCAAAACAATGGATTTAAGAAACTAAGAACATGCAACATAATTTTTTTTAATATTTCACAAAGTGGATTATTCATTAAATAAATCAAATAAAAATAAATAAAGACATAACATGCAACATAATTCCTTAATCGGACCACCGTCTAATACTCGTAACAGCTCGTAACTAATGCAATGAGGCAGAAGCAGTCCGTTGTCGCTTGACGATAATCAGTGATCACAACACAAAGAACAATGATGCTATAATGACAGAATATAAACAACATAGTTTGTCTTCGTATGTGAATGAATTTTGTAATTTTTTGCTTTCAGGTCACCTGTTTATTGCGGAAGATTCATGCTGTCTCAACTATTTTACACATACAATATTTATAAAATATTACTCTATAATTCAAGTACTTTCTGTGATAAGATATTTTTGTAACTTACTCTTTTCCCTCACGAATACCATGCAATCTTATAATTCGATCTGAAAATCTAAATAACTTATAACAATTCTGATAACTGTCTTTGTTCTAAAATAATAATAGTTCTCAAATTTACTACTCTATGTTTTTCTACCTAAGGTCGCGCGGCATAAAGCAAGATCATAAATTCTCGTGAAATCAGGCGAAGAACACGTCAGCATTAAATCAACCAATATTAACTACAATTCGCAGCAACAATCAATAAAATACCAAAACGTGATTCACCAAGGCCTTGAGCATTTTTGGTATTGAAACGAATACGTCATTCAAGTTTCATTCATTTATAACTGTATTTTAGCTCATCAAATTGATCGCACTTGTTATAATAACATGACTGTGATGTACCATATAATTATAAATACCAAAGCACTTATTTATTTAGACAACAAGATCTACAGACAGACTGACTCATTGGCAAATTCTGCTGTGATTTTGCTCGCGTTTAACCATGCTCAATATATATATAATCCATACAGCGTATGGACTGAAAATAAATTTCAAAAATTAACGCGCGGCTGAGACTAAGCGTCTGAACGGTACTTAATTTACGTACTAAGAAGATTTATCACGATCGACCTGACATGCACCACGTTTACATGCTCTCGTTAACCATATCTGTACAATACGACAAGCCATTCATTGCTAAGCATGCTACTGAGTGGGACTTCTGGCATTCCTTGGATTGAACAATCCTCTTTAAATTTGGCTTGTATGTCGTTGTTTTGTGATGACAAATAAAAGATTGTTCGATTGATAATCGAAGCAGTTCTTTTTTACATGGTTGTCAGTCATAACAGATCAATGCGTTTATTTTACGTGTTTCAGGGCAGAAAACACAGATTCGCAGACGTATGTTGACCCAAACATTGACAATATCCTAAGCGCAGCTCGTTTGACATTGGGGTATTTTTTCATTGGTATGCTTTTCCCTAACTAACTCAATGGTCCCTTCCTCCAAACCGCATTTCAATTGGTCTTCCTTGTGAAGATAGGTCATTTTCAACTCAGTTGCAGACTCATCTGAGACTGAAGGGAATTTCAAACAATTCGTCTCAGAACTAGGGCTGGGAATTCCAGGGAAAACACTTTACCCGTTAACCGCCGCGTGACGTTCGACGTAATAATTTATAATTTCAGCTTGTTACGTCACAATGCTTATAAAGCCGTTTAGCGTGTTATTATCCCGGTATCGCTTATTAAAATTATTCACGAATCGAGATAGTTTCATGATTGCTCTGCTTCAAGAGATAGGCAGCGTAGTTCGGGCGTGTTGAAGTATTTTAGAAAACCTGATTCCGTTGTTAAACGTCATTTATGTGACAAATTATAAGTGTTCGATGTGCAAATTTTACTTCGAGATATATATCATAAAGAAAAACGGCATCAACTGCGCACTTGTTGTATGACATTGAATATCCGATTTTGCAATGAAATCGTGAACAATATATTTCGAAATAGATCGAAACTGATTCTGAATTCATCATTGTCAAGTTTCCATAATCAGCAATCTTGGTACTTCCATTATTTTCCACATTTATTGAGTCCCTTACCCACACAGTTAGTAATATTCTTTTGAATTAAATGCCGCAAGAGATAAATTTGCGATGACGTAATCGTATTTGAAGAAATTGTACGGTATGAAGATGATTTGTACCAGAGATGTCAGTCAACGGTTAAAATAAATTGTAAATTTTATCTGTACTTCACTCAAATAGTAGACTGCGCGTTTGTCTCCGAACTTTGATTTCGATGCGATTACGACAGCCGTTGTAGAGCAATAAACGCTTCTCGCGACGAAGAATTTGATTGTGACGTGTAATGAACGATTGCAATGTGAGTTGAGTGAAGGCGTTCGTGTATCTTCGACGTAGAAGAACAATTGGGCCGAGAGACGAGGCCGTTTATCTTTCAGTTAGGGAACTATCTGAAAATGATTTTAAAATGTTCCTTAGAAATTTAGTAACAAATAATGACTTGTTCCCATTTTCAAGAGTTGCACGTTTTACGGAAAAGACGCTTTTACTACAATAAATATATGCTACTATAGGGAGAAAGAGATGAGATGATGATGGGATAGAGACCATCACCCTATATGTTTAAGTTCGATTCCCGCGTTATTGTTTTGACACGCGTTATGGAATGTGACTCCAATCTGGACTCCTTCAGACGATAATAAGCACACAGTGTTGATGCTAATCGTTGTTGTATATTATAGGAAGATGCACAATCCAAATTCCGAAAACAGATAAAACTGAGACACACTTAACTCTTAACACAGTAAATCAGGAGTGGATCAAAACACATCACACTTAACGCAGTAAAACAGAAGTGGATCTAAACACAATATTATGCAGCCCTCTCGGCAAGCCGGAACGATACGTCATCAAATTGGTCGATACGAGAAAGGCAGTACATGTAATCAGTAATCAGTGTTGCTACAATAAAATGACCTATTGTGGGAATTGGAACACACTATTAAAATGAAAGGGTTAAATACATTATAATTCATAGTTACACAATGCACATTCGCTACACTACCATCTGTCCTATATTCCCTGCTTTTCCGGTATCATTGGCCAATGAACGCAGACTTCTGTATGACGTGACAATAAAATTGGTCAGCTCTAAGTGGATCCCCCCCCCCCCTTGTGGGTGGTCGGATGAATACCAGATGTACTGCTCGCTTTTGCATTGAGTTAAGTAGCCTTTCCATAAAAAATTTTCGGTTATTGGACACGTGAGTGTACCTACGAATCGTTTTTGGACACGTTAGTGGACATGACGATCGTTTCAATATTAAGTTGTTGTTGTTCCTTGACACGTTGGGCTCCTAGTGGAAAACCTAAAAAGTCGCTTTTCTTTTTGATAACAGGAACAATTGCTCTGAAAGTTTCAGTGGTTAAAGATAAAAATGTTCTGCAGAAGGCTATTACTTTCATTTATTTCAAATATTCTCGATAGCACTGTGGGATTTGTTTTTTTCACACATGAAGGATTTGTTTTTATGCTGGCACTTTTCTTCTTGTTCTTTTGATCACGTTCTCAACGAACCTCGGCGGTTCCCATGTAACGAAACTTTTGCTTTGCTAAGATTTGTTAATGGGGAATTTAGTGCAACGACTAACATACCTATTGCGCGGCACCGGTACCTGGTTTTATACTATAGTAGTGACTCGGATCGCTTGTGTTACTACGTTTGAGAGTTAGATCATCTTGCAATTTTAATTTACGCTGACAAAAGACAGGAACTAGTGAAGACAAGGCAGTTCCGGTACTGTACCGGACTACCGGTAACACAGCACGGTGACACTAAACTAACTGTCTCGTGAAAGCGGGGCTTGCCCTCACTGGTATAATTAATGTCTTTTAATATGGTGCTTTTCTTGTAATCGGTAAACTCTGCCGTGCTGGGTAAGTAAATCGTATCGTAGCCATGTAGCTGTTTCACTGTTCAGCTTCGTTCAGGATACCCTTTGATTTTCAGTTAATATATAAAAAAAAAATATTAAAATATTTCGCTTTGTTCTTTATACTTTGTACTACGGCTGACTCTGAAAATTCTTGCGATTGAAAAATCGGTAGTTTTTGAGGCTACACGGGTAACGCCAAAGGACTGCTTCACTCTGGTCCACGTGTCTATATATTTGAGCATTGCTCTCCTGTTATTAGTTGAGTTTTTTAAAGAAGGTGTTGAAAAGTATAAATACGCTATTAAACACTTGTATACTCTTACCATAGATAGCAATTTTAGTTGAGCACTAGCTCATAAAACGCTGTTATATAGGTAGACCTACGGAACGGTAACTCCCAAGATAGGCTCGACTTACTTACTGACTTAGAATAATATGGCACAAATAACGATATTTTCTTGCTTGTATGAAAAGTTTATGGTTAATTTAATGACGATTCTTGACTATTCAGAAGACTTATACCGCTAAAGGGGCTACGGCATATTTGATTCAGAAAATAATGGCTGTTTCTGCAATGCACGTTTGTGTGAAAGAGGGGAAAATAATTAATTTTACTGATGTCAGTTGGTCTAAATCCGTGGTTCCCATCCTTTTTGGCTCGTGACTCTCTTTGGTGGTTTACACATACCTCGCGATATAAATTGCACAAATTTTTGGATTGAATGCAAAAACCACGTTACATTTATAAAGGAAAAGTCGATTTCCGAGAATGAGGATTTCGGAAGCAATTCAGAGGAAAGTGAATTAGATATTGAAGTTAAGCGTTTTAGCAGGGTTAATTTAATAAATATTATTTTTATTTTTCAGACATCTGTTAGTGTCGAAGGTCCTTTGTTTCAAATACACAACCACCAAAGCTGAAAAAAACTAATTGTAATATTGCAGTTCCCTGTGTTATGTACATCCTGTATTTATTTGATTTTCTTGACTTTTCTGGTATATTTCTCTGAGAAATAACCGATTTAGTCGTGTTTTTGTGCCCACGATGATAATTTGTGACTTCATTGCTTAAAAATACATACGTTTGATAGTTTCTATGAAATAACTGCAACTTCTTATGCTGTACTTTGTTGTAAACTACTTGTCTGAGGAAGTCTGATTTTGGTCAGACAAATGTTACAGAAATACATTTGTGTTAGTGTGCAGCAGGGCTCTTGAATTGCATAGTTCTTAGGCTGTGTTGTTGTAAACCTATGGTTATTGATTTTCTGGGAAACCTTATATTCCATTTCGCATCAGGAACAAGCTGTAATGCGTTCAGTACGTTCATTTTTATACAAAACTAAATAATTTATTAATTGATAGTTACAAGATGTGCTCTACGAAACTCATTTTCTGGGCGTTTTTCAAGGCCTCGTCTCACAGCCTGATGAATAATTCTATCCATGGTAAGGGTCTACAAGTGTTTAATAACTTACCGTACTTATACTTTTTAACACCGTCTTAGTATAACTTAACTAATAAATCTAAAAAAGACGATGGAAAGACTACAAACTGGGATTCATCCGCCCGCGAACAGATGATCAATTTTTAATTGTTACGTTATACTGAAATCTGCATTCATTGGCCAATGTTGCCGGGAACGTAGAGAATATAGGGCAAACCGTAGCGCATATTTCTTGTAGTAAAAGCCTCTTTTTCGTAATACGTGCAAATTTGGAAATGGGAACAAGGTATTATTTGTTACTAAATTTCTAAGGAACATTTTAGATTTTTTACCAAGTAGTTCCTTTATGTGCGCTACGAAACTCATTTTCTAAGCTTTTTTCGGGGCGTCGTCTCACGGCCTAAATGCACGATGAATCATAATAAGAGTAATTGATAAAACTTGCGCTACACGTTATGAATATCGCCGGAAAACTATCTTCTAGTCTACCATCCTCGCTAATATTTGTTCGTCTCAATCGTCAAAATAAATTCAATTCAAACGTATTTTAACACGATTTTATAGTTTTATTGAATATAATTTTTGCATGAAAGTCATGTCGACAATGATTACTGCGATTTGAGGGGCCCACGTGGTCGAAACGTTAGAGTTAACTATTTTAGCATTGCAGACTACACATATTAATCGCAATTACGAAAGAAAGCAAACTGTACACTGTGAAGTATATGGTGGAACGATACGACACCACGTGTCCACCAAAAAAAGTTCACAGAATGATGTCCTGCAGTATCTAAACATATACATTGAAAATCTAATGAAAATATTGAACTGTTGTTTGGAAAATATTCTCCCCGTTGTACATCTCACATTTTATGAAGTTGGTCGGATTTTCATCTCCGTGAACTTGAGTGAGTAATTATATCCCTTCCAATGACGCCAATTGATTCCATCTGCGTAAGTAGAGTGTGAACCACCTTTATGATATTTTCCGTTAAGATTGGCTTCATGGCATATACCATACCACCATGCTCCCTTGTACGTTGAAGCGCAATTGTCGGTCCAAGTATCGTGATCGCGATCTTTGGTTGAAAATTTCATCCCGTTTTCTCGTGACATGGAGTCCGTAGCATCGCCAGAATAGGCACCGAGATTTATCCGATACTTCGTACTTGCACTGCCGATCTTGAAAGTTCTACAGACATTAAATATATATATATATACTGGAGAGATAGATACTGAAACATTTCAACTATGTACTTATTTTTCATATTTATATACATATACCGTATATATTCTAACATTGCAAAAGTTTGAAAAGAAATCCAAGGATTTTTCATACCACAGAATGCAATAGACTTGAAAAAATAAAGTACCAATTTGGCATACAGTTTTTAAGTCTACTGTAAAAACCTGTTAACCAAGTATTAAAAGCGCATTTTTGTCAAGATTAGGAAGCTTTTTCTACATAAATACTTGATACTTCAGTGCAAAAGCAAGTATAAAACTATTGTGATGCTAATGTAATTTTTAAATGTACGAGAGGAATGAAAACTCACGAGTATCTTGCGTATTTCTTTACGCCAGACCAATCTTCGAGATCTACTCTGAGTTCATAAGACCCGGATGACGTTATTTTGTGTAGCGTTTCAAGACCTTAATGAAGAAAGATTTAGAAGTAGTTTTTATACCGTTTAGATAAAATATGTAAAAAATGCCCTATCTGTAAACTTTGAATTTTTATATTTAATGTTATTTTATTTATTTATTTGTTTTGGTTTACGTTTGCCATAGTTATATATCTATTTATATATTTAAGTAAATTTTTCTTTGGTGACATTAAAAAATGGAATTGTTTTTATCGAATATAAAGACTTATTACATTCTGAGAAAGTTATTGCCAATAAAATATGGATTCAATATTCATTCATTCACCAAAGCAAAATGATTTCATGATCTAACATCGGAAAATTAAAAAACTTAAGAGTGTCCAGTGAATGAGTTTTGCAAAAAGAAACTTCCATAACCTACCAAGCCAAAATTCCCCTTTTTTATTGCCGAATCCTGTTACGTAGTCATTCCATGACCTGAAGAAGTCTTCACTTCCATCTTTTCTGCGCTGAAATACCTAAAAAAAAGTTTTTTTTATTGTTCGTTGTTATGTTAAATTGTTGGTAAAAAATTATAATGTGGGCGATTTGACGACAAGACTGGTCAATATTTCTCACTGTATCGAATTTCAATTAGGATACTGGTAGATCAAACTATTCTAGAAAAAAAAAACCGACATCCGAACTGAAAACTCAATTATTCTCAATTTTTAAAATAATCAAATCAATCGAATAGCAGTAATTTTAGGGTAGTGAGTGATACATATATGTTTATGAAAAAGATAATTTAGATTTTAGGCAATGTTTGTGATATAGTTTTGTTTGCTGATGTCAGAAGGTCGCAATTGTTAACAAGTGAACAGTATCTCACAATCCATCCTCCTCCATCAGTTCCCATATCACAATAAACTTCTGTTTGTTTTCCTCCTGGATATATATCAAAAATTCCCCCTGTTTCGCTAGTTGATTTTATATCTTCCATCGATACTTTACTGCAATCAGTTACTGTACTGACACGTAGTTCTGGAAAATTTACAACTTAGTGTAAGCGCCTCGTACGGATATATATATATATGTTTTGAAACATTCCACATTTAACTAACCTTCTTTTAAATTCTCAACGGCAGCTTCACAACTTGCTACTTTTCTATTGAGCCGATTTTCAGTATCTTCAAAACAAAAATGGTTATATTTATAAGATATTTATATATATAGGAGAATTGTTTAAAAAAAATTCGTTTCAGAATTATTTTCAACACTGATGAAGATTTCCAAGTGTTTAATTCCAAAATTGCTTACGCATCTGAGTACAATATTTTAGAGAATTTATCGCAACAAACTATAAATTTTCTATATCCAGTTGAAGCATAAGATAAAAGTTTATTTCATGTTGTCGAAAATAAAAAAATCTGTGGTAGTATGTTGTATTATCTCAACAGTATTCGAAAATCAAAGAGATTGCGGATGTATACAGCCATTTAGATATGCACCAAGACAAAAAAATAGGGCTAAGCCTGTCTCAGACGCAATCTAATTGTTACTTTTAACTTTACCTCGACAAATCAGCAATAACTTTGAAACCAACGTTGTAAGCGTTGCCGTCTTACGTACCTTGGAACAAATCCCTCAATTTTCTATCGATAATATCATAATCAACGCTACCAGGCGGTCCTTGAATTCCTGGGGGACCTTTTGGTCCAATTTTACCAGGCCTTCCCTGGTTTGCATGTCCATTCGAACCATTTTCGTCAATACAGTGGTGATGCATTTGCGTAACGTGCTCACAAAAATTGTCGTTCGGAGTAGACAAGCATGGTGCTATCACGATTACAACAAACACTATTATTGTTTCCATGTCTAAGCTAATGTATGACTATAGGAACGCCTCAATCTACTTTGAAATAAAAAAAATAATCTATCGGCGATATCTGAATTTAACAATATAATTTTCATCGTATACCATTGTGTTACTTATTATTCGGAATTGCAATTTTAACAGAATGTATACTTAATCCTCGAAGAAATAATATTGCCTCCTTCGTAATCTATTGATTAAATGAATTGAATAAAGTCTTAAATCTTTTAAATCGAGCTGAAAAACTTAACCACTCATAATAATTCTGGAAACTGTCTTTGTTCTAACGACAAAAAATAATAATAGTTTTCAAATTTACTACTCTATGTTTTCTACCTAAGGTTGCCCGGCGTAAATTAAGAACACAAATTCTCGTGTAATCAGGCGAAAGCCAACACTGACTAACTACAATTTGCAGCAACAATCGATAAAATACCAGAACTTGATTCAACAAGAGCACTTGTTATATCAACGATTTTTTTAAATTTAAAGCTAAAATTCCCAAAACATGCTGAAACACGATCAAAACAGACTGACATCAAAACACATTACTCATTGGGGAATTTTGCAGCGATTTGGCTCAGGGTTATCCATCTTTCCCAACTAAACACATTATTCGTTGCTTGCGAAAAATGCAAGCTCAAAATATCTATAAATCATGCGGTGTATGGGCTAAAATGAAGTCCCGCAAATATACGTGCGAGGCCTGCAATAAATTTCCTTCAGCAGACTAAACTTCTGAACGATAATTAATTTACGTACGATGAAGATTTATCACCGCCGACCTGACATACACCACGTTAGCATATTTGTACAATACGATATGGATACGAGAGTCAGGAGTGGTTTTCAATCTTTTTGATGGAGCGGAACCCCAATGAAGAATTTCTGAGGCTAGACGAACCCCTGTTTAATTGTCTAAAGCAGCGGTTCCCAAACTTTTTGTGTGTGCGGCGCTAATTGATCAGGTTAGAATACTAGCGGCGCACTTACACGAAAAAAATATGCTGCTCTTCAGTAAATCTCAATATCGTGATCGTTATTTTGTACTTTATTGGACACGTAGTGGACATAACGATCGTTTCAATATTATGTTGTTCTTGTTGTTTGACACAGAATAACACATCTAGGGGAAATATTAAAAAACCGCTTTTCTTTTCGAATACTGGACCAATTGCTTTGAAATTTTCAGTGGTTGGAGATAAAATTATTCGCCAGAAGGCTATTACTTTTATTCATTTTAAATATTTCTGTTAGCTCTGTGAGATTTTTTGTTTGCTATGACGTCATTAAACGTTCTGCGCACTCGGACACCATTTTGTGTCCTATTGTACTGCTTCGCTTGGTGTGAATATATTTGTAGACTGTGATCTGACGTTACGGTAAACCGTACTGTACTGCGAACAGACGTGTTCATATATTTGGCCGTAGCTCTCTTGTTCCATTCAACATTAGTAAACATGTATGCTCAAGGAATAAAGGCAAACTCTCCTTCCTCATCTTTGCCTGTTCGTTAAACTCGGTTCAGCAGATAAATAAATTGCAAGTACAGCAAGTGGCGTCTGTATCTATTGTTACGTAACAATAGAGGCAGACAGGCACCATGTAACAAAAAGTAAAGCGCAAAGAATTTATTGATTCATATTCAATGGGAAACAATACAACTTTTATACTAAATACAATGTGTGAAATATCAAACCATATTTTAATTATGTTTAACACAATTCTGCTAATTTTGGCGGCGCACCTGATAACACGCTATGGCGCCTTTTGGGAACCGCTGGTCTGAAACAAAAAGCGCATTGCGTCAATCGTTTTGACATATTACTGCGAAACCCTTACTTTAACGTTTGTTCATTTAGTGCGCTCCGGATTTATCTTGAAGCAGTTGTCACAAGCAGTTAGCAAAAGAGAAAATTTTTGTTTTTAGTGAAGGACATTGTCCGAAAGGACCTAAGGCATTAGCCCAGGCCAGAATACAATTAAATCTCCATTCAAAAACTTTTTTTCAAATTTTACGACGACAAATGTCAATAAATCACCAATTTACAGCTGACTATACTCCTTTGTGTTGTTTTCTATATGTTTACAATAGTTATTAAAAAAGGTATGAATATGGTTATATAATTGTAGCTCATTTGTTGTTGGCATGCACTCAAATTATGATTGAATATGAATATGAAATGGGAACTGGGAATGACAATATGTTATTTATTATGGTAACGATCATTCTAACTTTAATTTGACCTCAGGAATGTGACGGGTTATTTAATACTCTCCCAAATATGACATCACACAGATGTCACCTTCTACGAACTCGCGTTTTTTTCGTATCCGTTGATTTGTTGAGCAGCAATGCCAATAATACATTAAAACGAAAGGAAACCTACCATTTTCACGATGAATGGAAGGTGGATTGCTTTTACCACCATAAAAACAGCTTGCGTATGTCTCATTTGCGTGGCGATTATAGCGACGACAAAGCGACGAGATATTTCACATCTTGTCACTATCCAATTGTCAGCGCAGTACGGGCAGAAAAAGCCTGGCTTTTAAATTAAGCAATCCTCTGTTACGAGATCAGTGTTTGGTTCAAGCTATTTTTGTGAATCAACATTTTTAACATGAACTTCACAAGGAACTAAGCATGTAATACGCCTTACTGATGAAAATCTGCAATACCCGCTCAGAGTTATAGTGTCAAGTAGCCTATACGCAACACACTGGTGGAGAGCATCAGACCAGATTTGCTCGATTTTTGTTTTCTGCTTGTTGAAAACAAGATATTCATGATTAGTTGAATGTGTTTTTGAATGTAATATTTGGCAGTACAACTTTCTTAGAGTTATGCAGGGTGTTTGTAAAAAAAGTAGGTAAATTGTGGACCTGTGGTTCCGAGGATATTAATGTAGTGATCACTTTAAATTCAATTTGAAAATTGAAGTGTCATTGCTAATAATTTATTTGCTACGTTGTGATAATCGTTTGATTTCCTGAAGAATCATAGAGTTTATCAGTGGATCTATCTACTTGACGAAATAATACCAATAATTATCAAAAATTGAAGCTTAATCTAGCAAATTGACTTTTATAAAAGTGTGCATTGAACTGGTAGCCCTCGGCGTAATCGGTACCCAGAAAGTAGTCCTTGGCTTCGAAAAAGTTGGTGACCCCTGCTCTAGAGTCACTTATTAAATGATAGACGCTTTCAACCTAAATCTTTTTGTTCACGAAAGTTTCTATCATTCTCGGGTCGCCTCTTTGGGAGTTACGAAATCAAAAAAAACTTGCATTTTACCATACTAACAGTCGTCTCAGAAATACAAGCGAATACTACTCGCCCAACTTGCTAAGTACGATCATAGTTTATAACAGTGGTTCCCAACCTTTTATGTTTCGTGGCCCCCTTCCGGCGGCTTTTTGCTCTCGTGGCCCTCCTGTTCGCCATTCCAAAATACTAAAGGTGTTGGATTGTATTGAGTTTTTACGACCTTTTATGGAATGCAAAAACACACCACAAGTCCAAATTTTTAGTAAACAATCAGTTGGAATCGTGCGCTTGGGACTGTCTGACAAGTTATCTCTTATTAGGCACCGTCTTGATATAGCCTAGCCCGACGAATGTCACTGTCAACATCAAGGCATTTCTAGATTTTGTTTCCTCGGACAGAAACCCGAGCCAGTGTTGCTTTCTTGTCAAATCTATCTCCCTTGGCAGCCAAGAAACCGATCTTTCACCTGGTGATGATTTTTGTCACTCAACTTTTGGAGATTGGGTGGATGTAATGATTCCCTATTCATTACATACAAGTAATGCCGGCGTTGAATACATTCTCTGTCATCTCGATTTACTCTGGTTGAGCCAACGTAACTGTCGTTCCATTTTCGGATTTCGGGCATTAAGATTTATATATGGGTTTGGGCGTCTATAATACGATAGTGAAGGTGAAGGTTATCTCGCAGTCTAGTGAAACTGCCTGTCTGCAGGTTCAACTATTAGCCTTGTGTCGTGGCCCCCCTGGAACTACCTCATGGCCCCCTTATGGGGCAACCGGCCCCCGGTTGAGAACCACTGGTTTATAAGTTTAATAGGTTTGGCAAATTAGCTGCCTTGAAATAGCATACATTGAACCGCTAATTGTTCTTCAAATATGGTCGAAGTGATAAAGTTTGTATAAAAAAAAACGGTGCTCCCGAAGTATGCGAACCAAGATGGCGGACATCGAAACGTAGCATGGGTAACAAGTTAGGGTTAGGCCATAATTTTATTCCAATTTTCCTTATTTAAGTCCTATTATCAGTTCGAAGACTAGCCAAGAGCCTCTCGTAGTATTTATACCTAAAATTATGGCCTAACCCTAACCTAGTACACATATTACTATCCGATGTCCGCCATCTTGGTTCGCATACTTCGGGAGCCCCAAAAAAACTATGGTGTATGCTATATCATGTCGTAAACACAATCTTGCCATAGGCCTTGGACCACGGTTGAAATATATCCTGAAATCACTTCTAGCCGGCTGATATATTAATGTAATTCGAAAACTGAAGTAATATGGATTTTATTATTATTCATTTTTTCTGTCGAATTTACTTTTTTTTGTAGAGTAAATAATAGAGTATTTATTTATGTTATTATTGTAATATCATACCTTTTAAAAGGCGCTAACCAGAGTATAAGATATATATTTTGAAAGCCGAGTAGGCTTTTCTGAAGGTAAGTCTGTTCTTTTTGCTGAACCATAATGAAAGAAACAAAATAACAACGAAAACAGTAAACCAGATTCGAATATATTGAAATTAGTCGAAGTTTTTTCTTCATTTATGGTTCAGATCATTCATTCAGATCATCAGGCTCTTGCTTGTGTTTTGCGTGTTGTTTCTTGAAACATGCGTTTTAAAGCAAACGTTTGAAACCAAGCGGTCAATGCAATAACGAAACATGTAACTATGGAAGCCCTGTAAGTCAAAATGTGAATTCAAGTTAGTTGGAGAGTTTGTAAGTGGGATGCGGTTTTTATTAATTAGACTGTGTTTTGAAGCGATTTTGTATAGATAACGTTTGGGATATTTGTGATAAAAAATTTGTAATACGCCTCAAGTACAGAATTTCTGGCGCTCCCGAACTATGTGCATCATGATGTCGCACGACCTGAACCCCAATCTGGTACACACATACTATGTTCAGGCTGTGCGCCATCCTGGTGCACATACTTCTGGAGCTCCGAATTTCTTTTTTAGATATTGATTTAAACGACAGTGGCAGATAAACAAACATTTTTTCGAAATTTGTGAACGCATTTCGCATTTACATTGATTAGAGGTTAGCTGGAAAGAGAGATACGGAATAAATAGCATTAGCAAGTACTAATAAGGGAAAAAACGCAGGACTAATTCAAGGTAATCGTTTCGACCGACATTTGTTGCGCAGACGAATTGACTGTCGTTCGTGTTAAAGATGGGAGGATAGCGCAAGTTTGAATCGCGGGGGAAATTTTCATGAGCAGGGGGTGTGGTAATTCCTTTGAAAATATTTTTATCTTTCTGATACGGCTTGTATAGCTACATGATTTAACTGTGTTGTTGGTTATTCCCTATCCAAGTAAAATCTAAAACCGTATCCACATTGGTGAGAAATAAAAGGATTAGTCAACACTTTTTCCGCGATCAGGTATCCAAATAGAAAAGCCCAGATAGGATACCACACTTGGAAGAGAAAATAATATTCGTTGTAGAAACAAACCTTCCTACATATACGAGCATAGAGCTCATTTGTTCCATATGAGCACCATCTTCTAATTTCTGAAAGTACAAATGCCGGTATATGCGCATTGCTGCCATGGCGATTTTATGTGAGGATAGCTGCAAAGAAAATAACTTTTAAGTAAGAAAGCTTTATGCAAAGTATAGAGCATATAATTTCTTTTTGTTGCTTCGTCTGATTGAACATTGTTAAATTGTTACCCGTGCTAAATAACAAAAGGGGTAAACAAATGGGTAACTCAATCATGTTGAGTGAAAAAACAAGTTATGGCGGTTTATAATTTTAAGAAAGTCTAAATTGACTGGTGATTAATATTATTTATCTGAGAAACAACAGTAAAATAACAACATTATCCCTATAGCAGTATTGAAAATGGAAGAATACAAAATAGTAAAACAATAATTAATTAAGATTATTCACGTCTTTTAGTATTAAAAAAATGTATGCCTACATATATACACAAAAAAAACTTTTCAGTTTATTTTTGATACTTTGTGAAAAGTTGTTCATGTACCATCGGCCAGTGAAGTTAAGTATTGTGGTTTGTCAAGGATAGATTTGATATGCTATAATATGTACTTCTAGTAGAATCTTTTGAAAACTCCATTCAGCACCATCTTATTACATATAATAATATTGAACTTATTACCGTCATTGCATCTGTGGTAGCGTCAGTTTCATTTTGTTCTTTTATCATTTCTTCGAACGAATCCTCATTTAAATAGGAAAATAAAACTCGAACCTTTTTTTCTCCGAATCGTTCCAGACTGTTGTGCAGACAAATTTCATAAACACCTACACACCATAAATGAAATACACAATCTTCAGTTAGTGCTATACAATACATCATTTTTTTATTCATTAATAAAACCAGGATGTTTGAACATATAAATTTGAGATCAGTAATATATTTAGCATAGAGAAAGAGTCGATAGCTACACAAAAATCCAATGAAAATAACCCAAAATGACCGCTCTGATAAAGTAATGTAACGCGCTCGAAGAAAAATACTTCCTGTGTTAATGTGTGAGCACGTTTAGTTGGAGACAAATTGAGAAACCATTAGGTGGTTCATGGTTTCAGTACGAATGCAGGGATAACTTCATCACTAAATTAAATTTACCTGATTCAGTTGCAGGAGTTTCTGACATTTCATTATTAGATCGAAAGTGAGCATGGTAGATTCGCATGCCGTTTGGATCTTTGATTTCAACTGAGATGACGTTACGAGCAAACGACGACGGTGGGGTAATTACCTAAACCGGATAAAACATCATTGATTAATATATTCAACTACTATGGCTCATGAAGTATTTGATCGAAACCTATTTCAACAAGTATTTGAATTCCCAAATGACCATTTTGCTTATTAATTTCCACCAGTAAAATATGTTCTATAACTTTGGGGATATTCATAGTCATACTTTCGTAAGGTTCCTTACAATAATTTCAGCAGATATTGTTAGATCTGATCTGTGTGTATGGGGACAAATATGTAGGTAGTCTGCGACACATCGTTTTTAGGGAACGCACTTGACAGCCTCAATATATACAAGGTGACACTCCACCCCCCAAAAAAACAAAAAAAAACGAAACCAACCCGGATTCGTGAGAGAACCTATTTTTGTGAAACAATTCGTGGATTACTGAAACTTCTGGGTACAATCATACACATACGAAAGTATTAGTTTAGATGTGTTAAAATTTATTCGTTCATTTTCGTAGAAGTAACAAGAAAGCGATGCTTAAATATGTGGACACGGAAACCAAAACGAAGTGGTACGACAATGCAACCTGTCACAGTAGACCCCCGGCAGCGTACCGCAGCTGACCAGCAGATATCAATTCAAGCGATAGCGGGACCGCCGAACGTAAATTTCAAAGCAATTGATCCAGTATTTGAAGAGTAAAGCAATATTTGATAACAACAAGATCAAGAACAACAACAACATAATATTAATCACAAATTGATCCATAAGGTCCATTTCGTGTCCAGTTATGTTTTTTTATACAGGTGAACACCATATATTTATGTCAAATATCATAAAGTATACAGGACTCGTATAGTTTACTCTGAGTTACAGCATGTCAGACGTGGAGTGGAGTAAAATCCATCGATAGCATATTCTTTTTAATTATCACTTACCCGATATTGAAACTGCATTTTAGCGTACTTGGGAACGTAATGGTAATAACAATCACTGTCTCTGGCGTATAAAATCACGGAAAATTCACTTTTGACTATAGGATCCGACGGATTAAAGAGAAGTTTGTCAGTTGGAGAAGGAGGAATCTTTTCCATTGCATTCCGCTGTGCTAATGCAATCTCAAGGAATGCACAAATGGCCACAATATACCATATAATGCTCATAACTTATATATACACGAATAATATCAAAAAGAAACCTTGTGAGCCCGCCCAGTAAAGCAAGAATTTTTGTTCGTTAGTGAGAATGAATTTGTGGCAACGTAAATAGAGCAACAAATGAGAGGGTCTTCTCAAACCTCTTTTATATTAAAGTCTACGGTTACTCGAAAAATTTCACCTATATAAAATTCTCACACTTTTATTCCTTGTCGTAATTTAGTACTTTATCTTTGTCTCCCCCTAAAATTGTCTGCGTATGACTTTTATAATCAAGTTATCTAAGTCTGATACCTTTTCGATAATGTCGAAATCTATTATGCTTACATACTATTCATTTAAACGTCTTTGGAATATGTTTCCCATGTTCTGTTCCGGTTTTCAAATATTTTTATTTACATCTGTGATATGCTACGTGTGATGTGTCTACATGTACTGACGAGACACGTGGGAAAATGTCTTCGAAAACCACCTGGTATTCTTATGCTGTACAAACAAACGTTTTAAACACAGTCACAGCCTATACATGGCGATATTGATGGGAAGTAACTCAGTGAAGTATACGAGCGACAAAAATATGACGGCCGATTAGCTTTCGACAGTTAATTATAGATAAACGCGCGCGTAAACGATCTTAAAAAACTTACGCAAATCAAATTAAATCGCGTGTTGTGACTAGGTATTTATTGTTTCAATAAGTCTCTTCGACTTCTGGCCTGCTGTCTCTTTCTCCGGTGTATTATTTTGCTGTTAGCAATTGACGTACATATATATATATATATATATATATATATATATTTATTAAGGAACCCTATCTCACAGAAGATTCAGTTGATCTTTATTATATTAAAGTGTCACGGTTGCGTCAATTTTTATGCCAATCATATTTGCGTGTAACAGAAATGACGTATGAATCATGTTGTACAAATATATTTATGAAATGGGAGGGGTAAATAAACAAGGGACGTGATCATAACCAAGCTAGTTGAATGACACTCACTTGTCTTCATTGTTAGCCAGACAACTTCTAATGTGTTGAAATGCAAATTTATTACTACTGGATATTGAATTAAAACATAAAAGGATCACATATATATAATTGATTCAAACTCAAAGATACAAGTGTAAGAAACGTAAAAATGTACTACATTATCTTCCAACTAACACAAATGCGAAGTATATATAATGAAAGAATGCGGAAAAAGTAACATATCAAGTTGAAATATCCTCAAGAATGACTATACACAACCTAATTTTTAATCAGGACAAGATAGAAAACAGTTCGTCAGCTTTTTTGGAAAATAATGCTTACTCAACCAGCGGTCCTGTCAACATATTTTTTTATTAGTCCTTCTTTCGACAAATATATGTCAACAACGCAATTACAAAGTCATGCTAGTAGTTCCTAGGGAGGGCGATACAGAATCACTTTCATTGGGACATTTTCCGTCTTTCTTTCCTTCTTCATTTTCTTCGGCCTCACAAAACATTGTACATGGTGTTTTGAGAATAGACACATACATTTCAAATGTAGAGATGGCACAAAAAATATTGATCAAAGTACTGGTGCTGTAAATAGTGGTCATTATGGAATGGGGAACGGTATCTGAAGAGATGAAAACTTTAATGACGGCCGATCCAAAGTCGGATAGAGCTGCTATGATTGTACATAACACTGAACGACGAATCATAATCACGACAGAATCGGAGGACTTCGTTTCATGATCTTGAAAACAACAAAAGACATTCCTGATATGCTTTTGCTGTTTTATACCATTCGCATTCTTACAAGTATTCTGTAAGGCTACCCTACCACGCACCATTGGGTAAATAAATAAACCAAGTAGTAGTAACTGTGCCAAAATCAATCCGGTGCCCAGAATATAACCCGCAGTTCCATTAGAAGATGAGTCTGGGTTTCTCACACAACCGTAAGGAGATGCCTCGTAGTTGGACGGAAAAATTGAAGCCCAAAAGAGTCCTCCAAATGTTGAGATGATGACAAGAAGTGATGTCCAACTGATAAAATTGACGTATTTTCCTGCAAATCGTCTTGTTGAAGGATGCTCGTACAAGATTCTCTGACGTAACCAAAGAAAAACGTAAATGGCGCAGCGAGAAATAAGCCGAACGGCAATTGAAATATCTGTGATGCGTTCGCAATATAGTAAACCCTTTTCCATTGACGGGAGTTGGAAAATGACTGCGTTAAATAAATATCTTGGTATCAGTAAAGCTACAGACATAACACAGGCTTTATATATGAGCCCACTGTTCAAAGTAGATGTTCCTGGTTTTTTTCTCCATTTCTTATTCCGTGTTCCATATAAAATCAGAGATATCAAAATCCAGATAGACGTTAGCAGCAGAAATAAGTTGGCTACTTGGCATCCAATGAGAGAAGTTGTGAAATTATACTCAGTTTTATTTGTGGGCGCTGTTATGTTGTTTCCAGGAATCGTTGTTGTATTTAACATACTACTTTTTATAACTATTTCAACTATATCTCATAATAACGAAACTTCAGTGTATATAGTATATCGCTCTAATGTATATATGTAAATGTACACCAAATTTTATTGTTCAGACAGATGTCGGATTTTAAAATCGTGTGTTTTCGATTTTGTATTTTATTTATAAGCATGCTGGGACAACCCGAATTGTCATCCAAAGTGGAAGCATATTCTACAATTATATGATTATAATTGTCACTATATCTCATGCTTCATGAGCTACAAATACTCAATTGTGTTCGCAGATTTCAATTCATTAACCAGATTATGATACATTGTAATGATCATATTTTCGTAAACAAATTTATTTAAAATCTATAATCTGCACCCAATCTAAAAATTATAATCATAAAGCCCTAAAATTCATTACTTAAATTCAGACTTCTGCGACATATTTTACTAAGAATAATATTACAACTATCAGTAACGCCAATGGTTGACTGATTTTTTTAGTCTTCATTTGATCACAAGTCTATGCTCAATATGCTGAATCAATGTACGCACTCGATGATTGTGTTTCAAACTGCTTATTAAATATTCCGAGATTATTGAATGCATCATTTCAATATTACGTCAGAAATTAAAACAGGAAATCACGCTAAAATCACAATATTGTAGATAGGGATTGACTAATAAGTACAAATTCAACCTGTTGAAAGCGAAAAGTGCATTCCTGCACGCCAATTAACATATCATGCCATTGCTGCTAAATTACTGTATCGAGTGAACTCAATATCAATCGATTTTACAACTGATTTGATCACGTAAGTGTATCATTATGCGACATGCGACATTATGCCTTTTAAATTGTCGGTATGGACAATCTGAATTAGATTACCTATTATTGGACACTCCTAAAGCGGCCATTTCAATGGCGATTGAAGACGTGTAACTATCCCTAAACAAACATAAGGGACTTTTGCTGAAATCACGTTAGTTGTTGGGTGAAGAATAGCTCTCCGCAACTGATAGATCGAACTGATAGATCATTTGTCCATTTCTAAGCACGAGAAAATCGATTTGTTTTGTCTACAAAGTTGGGTCGCTGCTGCAAAGCAACAAATTGTAAAAAGAGGTCTTAGAAACAAATATATTTATCAATCAATTTGAAGCTCCATCAACTACCCCAGATCAGGTACTTACATTGATCAAACTAATTATAAAATCAAAAAAAAAATCGGGAATTTTTATTGATTCATCGTTTTGCTGCATATTAGTGATTGCTAATTTCGGTTGTTAGGCTTCATTTGTCAGCTGTATTTCTATATTCGTGTAATACTATGTCCATTTCAAAAACAAGTTTGCCTCTTATAACAATATATATATATATGGTACTCCTGAAGTATGCACACCAAGATTTTTTTTGCTCGAAAACTTTTTGTGAGAATGATTCTTTCGAGTAGTTTTACAAAACAAAAACGACTGCATGAGCTTTTCGCAAATGTGCTATTGCATCAGGTCATGCCATGAAATCAGCATTAGCAAAATCGATTTTTATCAAATTGCTTACAACAATGCCGTTACAGCTTAGCTTTATAACGTTTTTTTTCGCAGGCTTTCTAGAATATTATATTATGTTATATAACTATATTATTATGAATAATTGTTTTGTTTATTAATTCCTCTCCAATAATGAAGTCGTATTATAATGAACACGTTTATTGTCAAATATATACACCTAGTTTACAATTGTTTTTAGATTTGTTTACTCTGAGCTGGAATTTGTTTATTGTAAACATTGATACTCTATTTTCTGCTGTGTGTGGTAATTATTTTTAGTTGAGATATTCTTCTGTAAAAATTCAAATCAAATACATTGGCATAAAAATATGGAACGATGTTCCACGTGAAATGAGATCTGAAAGATACACTCGTTTCAAAATAACATAAAAAAAATACTTACCGGTACGGTGACTCAAGCCTACAGACTAACTGTACCATGCCCACGAACCGACGGTACGCCGTGCTAGCGTCAAATCTGTTTCAATGGTCAGTCTGTATACACAACGGAAGTTTAACACAATGCAAGTATATTCGTATGCACATATATATTCGTATTATATTCGCCAGTATTTTCGTACGATATTTTCCCAATTTCCCCAGTAGTGTAATAGGTTAGGATATTCATATATCGTGAGGAAGTGTAACGATGACGATTCATGCGGCCCGTCTCAACATTAGGCTTGCACGTAATTGACAAAAATCAATTCCGTAATTACGGCCAAATCGATTACGTAATGACCCCGTAATTGCGATATTTTTTCACACATTTAAACCTATCATACCAACCAATTGAATCCACTTCATTTTCGATTTGGACATCGAGTTTGGGTTTTCATATTCCTGGCAGTACTACACGCCGGCGACATATGTTAAGATAGGAGTGAATTCAAATTAATTTTATTCTGATTTTTATCTTTTGTGCTAGCTTTGATTTCCTTTATCATCTTCGCAAATTAACCGTCCCAATTTTATGCGATCAATTTTATCATTACCGACACTGGTATACCAATATTTATGAAACGATGGTTGACTTTTTTTAAATCGTATTAAAAAGAATGTCGGGTTTCCAATTTATCAATGCCACGACGAGCGTATTCTCTCGTTTGATTATACTTGCGCTTGCCTCGCGACGAAGACTTGTTATTGCACCGTTTTTAACATTATTCGACTTTACTACCCAGTCAGCATTTTATAATAATTATTGATGCCGACTTATTGACGTTATTCCGATTACCATGCTTCATTTTACATTAAATCATTTCGCGGCCTAGATGTTGTATCATTATTTGCAACAAATTTAGATCAAATATTAATTATTTGCGCATAATTTAAATACCGTACTTATATGATATGGCTTTTCCGAAAATACAAAGTTATATCGCAAAAAAATGCATATTGTGACATTTATTTTGCACTCACGAAAAAATTAACTTATTTTTCTGACTCAAGTCGACGATCCTATTGGCCAAGATTGACACAAATTTGGTCGAGTGTCGGTGGTTTTTAAGAATCGAAATAAGTTGCCGCATTTCGTAAAGACAGTTAATCATATTTGGCCGAAATATTGCGAGGCATTGTGGAAAATAGATTGAGCAAGGACAAGTCCGGACTGATATAAAACGATAAAACCGGTAACAGAACATCAAGGTTTTGTAATTGAAAATGGTTCTCGCGCAGAATAAACACACTGGGTCATACTTGATATTTGATAGTAGTTAAATTGAGAATATTGAACTGTTAAAAACAAAAAAACGATCGTCGAAATTCTTAAATCTCGTTGCCTTGGATAAATATAATCCTAGGATCAGGACATTTTCAATTAAATACTGCACAAAGATAGTTATACATTACACATTTAGGCTACAATTTAGCTTTTTTTAAAATTTCAATCATGCATTGTGGTGGAGAAATCCCACTATTTAAATACGGGTAACTATAAAAATAGAATAGGATTCTGGATTCGATTTAAGTATTCTAAAACAGTGGTTCCCAACCGCCGGTCCGCGGACCGTCAACGGTTCGCAAAGGATTTTTACCGGAACGCGGGAAATCCCGTCATATTGTTGTTTCTCTGCCGTCTCAATCGCTTTACCGATGCCGAAAAGACGAAGTTGCGTTGGTTCATTACGCAATTTCTCTTCCGTCGTCATATTGCTGATTTTTACCGGATCGCGGGAAATCCCGTCATATTGTTATTTCTCTGCCGTCTCAATCGCTTTACCGATGAGGAAAACGGCTGCAAATACCGAAGCTCTAACTTCTTCTACTTTTTAAACTTTCACTTTTTACAATCGACGGAGTTGACTGCTTTGAAGAGAGCTCGTTACAATCGCGAAAGCGCTCGACCAATAATTACGACTTTACGTAATTCGTAACTTCCCTTCCGTAACTCGAAATAATTCCGTAAATCTGTAAATTACGTGCAAGCCTACTCAACATGAATTGAAATAGCAAGTGATTTGAGTCAAAACTGTAGTATCAAATCTTTCACAGTACCGGCTGTCTTTCTAAAAACACTCCCGAGTTTGCTGAACACCAGATCGTTGAAATCCGATAGCGGAAACGCACACCGTGCGCAATTTTGAATTAGGATGACGTCATCACACAAAACTTTGAAGTGAAAAACGGATCCCACAGAAAATTTTGAAATAAATAAAAGTAATAACTTTCAATGCAATTGGACCAGAAGTTGAAGGAAAAATTGCATTTTACAACGACAATATGCCAAGAGAAATACTAACGGAACAACAAAACAATCCATAGGTCCATTTCGTGTCCAAAAAGTGAATCTCTCAATTTATGCTTTGCATGCGACAATGATTAGGTCTTATTATCGTGGAAAAGTACATCACAATACTGCAGTGATTTTGTTGTTTACAAGTATTGCTGTAGGATACGTACTTTATTATTTCTTTTTTCATAGAGCAAATTTTAGTATAACACAAATGGACCTTACCCGATTTTTTCACGGGTTTAATTTGATTATTTCCACCCGACATTTCTTAATTTTATAAAATTTCTTTTTCATTTTCGAATTATTTCTTATTAATTTTATCCAATTATCCTGGACATGCCCACACTTTGTCGTTATCATTTTGAAAAGCTAAAGTGTCTCTTTGTGTATATAACTAGTTTATTAATCAATCTCTAATTTATTTAATAACATTACATGTGTCAATTGTATTATTATAAGTTAATTCCTTTCTAATATTGAGGTTGTCTTTTAATCATATCACTTTCTATCGACTTAGGTATTTGTTTACTGTAAGCAATTATTACTTTTACTTCCCATCTATTTTTATCGAAAAAATATATGCGTCAATTATATTATTATAAATCATTGTCTTTCATGTATTCGATACCTGTTTAATATTGGGATTGTTTTTTAAAGAGTATTCCTATTGTCAAATCGATGCTTGTTTGAAATTGATTCAACAATTCGTTCACTGTTTCAACTATGAATGTGAATTTTAAGACCCAAAAACCATATTCACTCACGTAGGCCAGACCGTTATGTGGCATAATGTTAGAATTTTGAAAATATTAGAATTTGGCCAGTATTTTAGAAGAGCATACATGGGTTAGTGTTAATCAAACATTGGTGTATGATGAGTTACAAATGTTAACTTTTTTAACACGGGAATTAAAACAACGCCGACTGTTTGATAACTATATGCATGTCAAGTTCACGAAACCCACTAACCGCTTGGGGTAAAATGAATTCAAATTAGTAAGTTTCCTACAACATTTTCAAAAACCCAAATACAAACTGTTATTTTTATTTTTATTATTCTTTACGCGACCCGATATTTTCGCTGTATTATTTTAGTCGAAGATTACACTTCTTATTCACTGTTGCCCGACCACCTATGTACTTATTTTTTGCTGATCTTTCAGGAAACTCGATTCTCAGCTGCCTGCTGATGCGCTACCTTCGTGTCCTTATATTCGATAATTTGCGATCGTTTTTCATAAACACTGCATTTTGCACGTGACATAATCGATAACTTTATGTTTTTTGTAAATATACTCGAATGAAAAATGAATCGTGCTTGAATCGTGCATTTTATGCTCAAAAATAGAATAAATCGATAAGAATAAAACGAAACACCTTCCTTATTGTGCACGCGTTTACAACAAGCGCCATTTGCAAAGATGGTCGAAATTTTATTTGTGGTGGCAACATTTCGGAAATCAATTTAAAACCCAATTATTTACGGAGATATTATTTGCAAATGGAAGATGGGAGGTAACGTTCCTATGATGATTTATCAGCTTGGAAACGTGCTAACGTCTTTTTATGTTTTCATAGATGGCTCAAATAATTGTTTACGTATTCTTTTACAAATATATGCATATTAATTTTTTCTGCATTGGGGTATCATACTGTAATGTGTTTTGTCATGTGATAGCCGAAGTACATTACACCTATCAGTAACCAATTCGGGTCTTGTTCAATTGTTACATGTTTTTTTATGAATATAACTTCAAATATTATGTCGAATAGACCAGTGATTCCCAAAGTGGGCGATATCGCCCCCCGGTGGGCGAAAACGATACAGAGGGGGGTTATTCTGTACTCTGTGTGAATTCGCAGGCTTGAATCACGTGGGCGATTATGACACGCAAAAGGATTGCTTAAATCGTCTTCGCAGTAAGGTACGGTAGTTTGCGTATCCCAGTGGTCGGCAAAATACGGCTGGAGTAAAATAATTTGACCCGGAACGATTCACTGAATGGACCTTTCCCCGACCTTTGACTGCGGAAAATTCTTCCTATACTTAACCATTTTAAAATATTAATTCTTAATTAATTCTTATTTTAAGAGTGGTTTCGCGAGTTGCTGCCTGTAAAATGGGGTATTTGTTTCAAACTATCATTCTAATTCATACCATCCAACAATCTGTTTTTAAAAAATACCGATGAAGAATTTTAGCCTAGTCTATCACAGCTATTTCTACACTAAATTTTGATTACTGTATTTAAACTGAAACTCATATGAAGACAAAGTAATCATTGACTTATTTGATTTATATATAAATTTCCGAAAAACGACTAAAAGCTAACGAATATAATTCAAAAACGCGAAAATGGGGTAATGTTCACGACCACGCCTGAAAATCTGTCTGAGAGAGTGTGTCTGAGCGGATGCGAAAGAGGGCATTGTTACGTTATTTTTGCATCTTGCTGATTAGCCAATGTCACGAAGTAAACAAGGAAGTCTATGCCCGGTGAAACATCCAAATGGCGGTTTTGACGATGAATGAATTTTACCCATAATCTACGCTCGAGGAGTAAATTACATTTTTTTACGTAACAGAATTTATCGTGAGACACGTTTAGACTAAATTTTATTATATCCTGGAAATTCTATCGAACAGCTACTCGTGTAACGAGCCTACAATTTAATTGATTATAATTAGACAAATGGAATCACGGTAGCGCAGTAAATATTCGAACATAATGCAATGCAATAAGGAAATAAAATTTATATTTTATTCGAGAGATTCACGATAGTTGGTCACGGCTCCTTCCACATCCGAGTCCATGAATCCAAAAACAAAAGGCTGATTAATTCTATAGACTGGAGGCCGTGGTAGGATAAAGAATCGGGGATGATATTTACCGAAGTATTCTGGTGCAGATCATCAGGCTGTATGAATGAATGAGATGCACGAAAATCATTATTATAAGTTTGGGAAAATTACCTTTGTTTTCATTATGTTTAATGTGAAGTGGGGTGAATTTAGGGAATGAAATGCTGTAAGGCAAGAGTACACGGCGGTTTTTGAGGAGGTAGAACCCTGGATTCTTCCATTTCCTGCCTAATATATGGTGAAAAAGGGGTCTAAGCCGTGCTACTATTGCTATCAAAACAACGAAATCGTCTTTCCATCTGTAAACGGGGTAATTTTTGATAGGCCTATAATAAAAAAAACTCGCTGAAGGACACCAAGCTCATCCATCTCATTAAAAAACAATATAAACTATGATTTGTCTTCTTATTTGGTCTGTAATATATTCGTTTCTGACTTTACATTTTTTTGTAGTGCCGGGGGGCGATGAAGTTGTATAAGCTACTGTAGGGGGGCGACGGTAAAAAAAAGTTTGGGAACCACTGGAATAGACTATCTTTCACTTGTTTGGACGAGGTGTAATGACATCATTATTAAATATACTATATTACAAATAATTTGGTATTACTTCATATTGGCAATTTTTCAAATTCATTAGCAAAGCATGCCCGACTTGACATGAGACTCTCCGTAACACATTGTATTATTAATAGCAAGATCATAAGAACATTATCAGTTCGGCCTACACGATTTAAACAAAAAATAGAAAGATGTAATGAAAAATTCTAAAATCACTTAAACAACATTATCTATTATGCAAATACATGAAAATTTTCTCGACAACAGCATAAAAATGTGACATTGACTTCCTTGAAGGTAACTATTCCTCTTTGGCAAAATGTCAACTTCCGTTAATCTTTATGGCATTCATTGGCATAAATCTATAAAGATATTACGTGTACAAGAGTAGAAAATGAAGTTTTAAACAATTTTAGACCTTGAATCTGACTGAAATATAAAGTTCGAGTATTATAAACTAATATTCACAGAATCAAAAATACGTTCAAAATGAAAATAATATATTAAAACCAGAAACTTATATATGACCTCTAGTCGTTATCTCTGTCATTAATTTTTACTAATTACGTCATGACGAGGTTTAATATCGATAAAATTGTTAAGTGTGTTACTTTTTAATTGCTTTGTTCGTATAACACAAATACCTTTGCTGGCGAACGTTGTGTAATAAATAGTATAATACCTGTGCAATAATAATTCTAAAAATTCTAATTCAATATTCTCGTTTAATATCTGTATTAAGTTTTTTTACTTCGATTCGAACAATGATATCATTGTGCAAATGAGCCCATTATTATTGTAATGATCGCGTAATTTATTTCATGATATATTCCCACTTGAAAAAGAGGTGGGACCAAAGATGTCGACTAATCTGATGAAATAATTTTTGCCTGAACTCGACCCGGTGTCAAGGAAAAGCGTCTGAAATTTTTTTCATCGATAAAATGTAGTTATTTCAAAAGCAAATTACTTTGTCAAAATCATTCAAATACAAAAATATAAATAAACAAAAATGGCTTGTTTTTTGACGTCTGCATTCTTCTACGACACGTGATTAGGTTGTAAGACTCGAAGTTCTCATCTGACGGGACAATGTTTCATCTCCTCTTACATTTTCAATTCTTTTTGTGCAGCAAGAATCACAAGGAGATATCAGCATTGACCAATACTTTTTGAAAGTTGCTAAAGCACAGAAAATATTTATAAATGTGCTTGTACTGAATATAACATTTTGTATTGGTCGCGGGATAGTTTGTGGAGGTAGGCCAAACACCACCCCAGCTGCAAGGATATCCGATAATGCAGCTATAATAGTACAAAATACAGAACGTCGTACTGTATGAGCTATAGGATTATTTTCTTTACAGAAAATTGTTTTACCATAACAAAAACATAATACATTCAAGTTTTTTCCAATGTTGTGGTGTTGGTTTATGTCGTTTGATTCTTCATCTGAACGATAATGTTGTCGAATACTTTGTTGTCGAAGAGATCGGCTCTTTACCATTGGATAGATAAATAAACCCAATAATAGTAATTGAGCCACAATCAACAAAAACCCAAGCATATATCCAATTACTAAGAACGGAAGACTTTGTTGGATGTTCACACAGCCGTGTAGTGTGGATTCGTACGAAGCAGGCGCTACCGAGTAACAAAATAGTCCAACAAAAGTTAACAGAATCCCAAGAAGTGATGCCCAGCTTACAATATTCACACGAGTACCACCAAGTTGTCTCGTCGATGGGTGTTGGTAAAGTATTCTCTGTCGTAGCCAGAGAAACAAGTATATTGAATACCTAGAAATTAGTCGAAGTGTAACAGATATGTCTGTGATCAGCTCACACCATCCCATAGCATTTCCAATGTTGCGAAGATGAAATATTAGAATGTTCAATAACAGTCTTGGAATGAGTAAAGCAATTGAAACAACGCAAGCTTGATAAATAATACCACTATTTAGGCTTGACGTACCGGCAGTTTTTCTCCATTTTTTATTTCTCGAACCATAAATAACCATTGATAATAACATCCATATGGACATTAAAAGCAACAATCCATTCACAACTTTTGACGTAAGCAGCATCGACGTAAAATCAAACTCAGTTGAATTAGTGATATTCGCACTTGTGGCATTGTATGTCAGTGTCACTGGAAGATCCGTAGACATTATTATCAACTTAGATAAATTTCTAATATTTGTAGATGATTTCTAAAAACAGTGGTTAATATTTTAATCAATATTTTTATATTTCACCAAAATTATCCTCAATAAACACTTTTAACTTGAAGCGTATTCAAAACGGGTGAATTTTATTTCGTCATGCTGGAATTTAAAAAGTCACACTTTTGAATTATAGCGTAACGCTATCACTGTATAAGAAAATGAATAAATTGTTCCTGTCCATCTCAAGTAATTTGTCGCCGAGGTTGGTATGAACACGAAGTTCGCTTTGCTTAATTTTAGGCGATTGCAATGTTTAGTATCTGTCCTAACTTGTGAATAACAATTATATCATCTAGTAAACTAGATGGTATAATTGTATTTGTTTTGCCTGGTTTATTTTGGCGATATATTGGAAGATGGTCCAGCTGTATACATCAAAGCATTTAATGCATCTGAATACTCTGTGTGACCGATTCACATTACATTGTTGCGAACTATTATATCAATCCAGCATATTAAAATTTTCTGATCTGAAAATGCTCTTTTGCTCACATCAAGTTCCCAAACATCCATCAATTTTTATTTTCTACTCGTCAACTTTTCAGTGCAAATCATAAAAAACAATTTCGAATGAACCTATCTGGGAAAAACTCAGACAATAGTATTTTGTAACTTTTGACGCTTATCTGCCTATAATTATCTTTTTTCTTTTTGGCCTTTAACCGGAAGCGAAAAATGATATATATTACGCTATTAATCTAGGTAAAATTGATTAGGCACGTATGTTGTTAGAAAACACGAAAAATTGATAGTAAATCAACCACCGCAATGCTGAAGCCATATTCGCCGTAAAGTCAAACTTACTTGCAAAATCTGATAACTTTACGAACTTTGCTCTCATTTGCATGTTATTATATTAATCCGCATACTAACTTAAACAATAAAAAACTAATAATAAAAGTAATATGCGAGACAGCTATTCCTCAATCACTGACGTCAACTTTGGTCATCGGAAATCGGTCACGTTTGCATTAACAACGCAGGGACAAATCACATGAAGTAAAATTGGTGATTTAACAGACATTGCTCTTTTCAACAACTATGGGGTGCATAGGTCAACTAATAGCACCCATAACTACAACTAAAAACATATTTTTTACGAGTTATACAAAACGCGTATATTTTGTAATTCTCGCAAAATCGTTTCTTATACGGTTTTAAACATATATGTATTTTAGAGAGTGACTAGAATTTTTTTATTCATCTCCTACGAAAAAGCGGTTATAGTGTCACACGGCGAACTATGGTCGCTGTTCCAGTACCGTGCCCAGGTCGGGCATGAGATATGTTGCGACAGTTAGAGGACCAGAAATCCTCTCATTCCTAGTTATCCTTCGTGGGATTCGAACTCACCCCGATTCGAAGCTATGTTCACAATGAAGATGCCTATGTTTGCTCGGTAGTGTTGGCATTCATTGGATAACAACTTTAACGGGGTCTGAAAACCAAGTGAAATATTTTATGTGGTTTTCTTCAATTATGTCGTAACAATGGAGAAAGTCCTTGTTTACATCTCGTCATTCAGTTGTATATCATATTCGCTATATCATGAAAAGGGTTCTGTATGTAACTTATATTACCCATTTTCCGATGAAAATTAATTGAATGTATTGTGCAATGTAAACCAAGAAATTGCTAACCGTCTGTCATACTGGAATCAAGCTTGGCATATTGAGCTCGGCTTGAGTATTGAAATGGTAGTGCGTGCAAAGTTTCTTTCATTGTTTATGATCTCGAAAAAGAAGTTCTGCAGAGGTACTCGAGCGCTCACTAGTGACCACCACATCGAAAAGTAAAATCAAGTAAACGGCGGCTATTGAGTAACTCAGTACACAAAGAAAGGATATTTATCAGTTTTTATTTTCAAGTTGACAATAAAATGACATGTTTTAAAATTTGAAACACTGCTAATGTCATAATAATGACGCTTTAAATTAGTTGACAAAGTCATTCAAAAATCAGCCGTACATGGAATATGACCCTTATTTCATTAAAATGTTTGAGGCAAGATCACAGCGCTTGCCCAAACTGAGTATAAATTGTATAGTCAACTCAAAATATATTCTTCTGAGATCAATGAAATAGTAAGAGCCACGTAAGCAATTTCATTACATCGATAACAATAAAACAATGCTCCAATATATGGGCACGAAAGTCCAATATTAACCACATAACCATGGCTAACTGAATATAGTTCGCCCACGGCGCTTTCGCTACGCATGAGCGATGCGCTACTACGTCATCAGTTTGCTATATACTGAAGCTTATGGTATAGGATTTACTTTTAAATTTATTTGCGTATTTAGAATGGTTTTATTGCTGGAAATAACTGAAAATATATACTGAGGCATCAGGATAAGGTAGAGGGTCGTGGCATCTGTCAGTCATCCCTGCGTCGGTACCGTACCATACCGTAAGTTGTGAAAGTCTGAAAGTGGGGTCAGGGAGTAGGGGCAGAGTAATTCTGCTGTTCTGCGATGTATTGGATAGTAATTGAAAGTTTATATCAGGATTATAGCACAGTACTATGAATTTAGATATTCCCAGGGCCTACAGAAGTACTGATACTGTATTTTTTTCAGATTATCTGGTACCGTATCCAGTCAGCCCCTCAGCCTAAGATAAGGTTCGAATGTGCAGCTCTCAGAATGAATGGAGTGCTTCAGTCACAAAAAAAATTACTAGCTAATTATTGGTTAAATACTGAAGTACTGATGTGTACCAAAATCTCTTTTTAAGTTCCATGTTTTAGCAAACTCAGATTCTGCAAATTTATTAAAAAAAACAAAGAAAAATGTCTGAAATAATTGTCAGTGAAGAAGAAGATCTGAAAATGGTATGTTGGAATCTGTTTAAGTTTTTTCAAACCTCGATAATAAAAAAATAGTCCTCTAGCCTAATGACCCCTGGTGTTCCTGGGTCATTTTGACACCCCTCTATATTTTTTTTAATATTTCACCAACCAAAAATGCCAAAGACATCATTAATGTGTCCCTAAAAAGCTTATTTTCGTCGCTTTCCACTAAAACGCGCCCACATTACGTAGCGTAAATGCGTCCGACCATATGCCAGTAAGAAGAGAGAAATTTCGAGAAAAAGTTTCTCACTTTTAACGCTGTGGTCAACACGTGATTGATATGCGAGAGAAAGAGTTTTCCTTTGGACGAGTTTTACGTCACCTTCAAAATAAAACAAAAGTGGGATTTGTAAGTGAAGTGATATTCGTTTTATCGAAGAGCATTTGATCGCGTGTTGTCTGGTATCTTTGTTTGTTTATTATGAGCCGAAGAACGTTGCTCGCGCGTTCAAAATACTTCGATTTCAAATAACAACAGAATATTTGGTTATTTTTAAGCTTTGAAATACTCATACAAATAAAATTGACCTTGTTGCAAAATAAAAATTATACATAAAAAAAATATGATGACATCACCGTAGTTAAGAACACTCGGATCAAGCATGGATAATTTAAACTCAAACATTTTGAGTTTTGAAATTTGGTTTTGTTCACATGCAGACCACTATGAAATACTATTGACCCCCCAAAATACATTTAATTTAGCCATAAACCCAAATTATGACACAGATCAGCCATTTATGGCCGGGCCGAAACCCTAGGGCTAGCCAGATTGAGTTTCTATTTAGTATATTTATTATTGCGAAAATAAGTTTGTAATACTACTAAACTGCATTTGATCATTTGTCATGCTGGTGAAACAATTTCACCACATTCTAACCTCGTATCCACTGATATATAGTAGCATATATCTTTTTTTTTCTCTCCATATATTATTATTCACCATCGCCTAATGCCGATAGAAATTTATTTGTATTCATTACTTAGGTATTAATTGACTCCAAAATTGCTCGATTACTGAAATACCAGAATATGAAATTTTGAGTCAGCTGTTACAAATCAAAGTAAACCAGTAAGCTATACTGAGATGCTGGAGTTTTTATAGAATGAAAATCAACTTTGCTTGACACACCCTTTGATCTGATCACCTTTTGGTCACCACGCCTTTTAGTTTTAATAACCTGAAGGTCGAAGTGGTTATTCAGTCATATTTACTCGTAATTTACCTTCAATGCAGAATACTATTTGTATTCTCTATCGAAGCATATATTTATTTGCTGCATCAATTATTCAAAATGGCCACCAATACTGACACAGTGAATAGACGAGTTGATGCATACTAAAATGGATGAGGTATGTGCAATAAAGGTTGACTCCAATACGGAAGAACTATCCCTATATCAGTTAAATCTGTACATGGTTTGATGGAGAGTATACATTCGGATGTACAGCTTTTGGTGTGAATTAGGCTTGCACGTAATTGACAAAAATCAATTCCGTAATTACGGCCAAATCGATTACGTAATGACCCCGTAATTGCGATATTTTTTTCACACATTTAAACCTATCATAACAACCAATTTAATCCACTTCTATTCCGAATAGGACATCGAAGTTTGGTTTTCATATTCCCGGCAGTACTACGCGCCGGCGACAGATGTTAAAGACAAATATCAAGGAGTGAATTCAAAATAATTTTATTCTGATTTTTATCTTTTGTATTAGCTTTGATTTTTTATCCACTTCATCACCAAATTTTATGCGATCAATTTTATCATTACCAACACTGGTAATATATTTAAGAAACGATAGTTCACTTTTTTAAAATCGTATTAACGTATTAATACGACTTTCGTATTAACTAAAAATTCCGGGTTGCTAATTTATTAATCAACTACAAGCGTATTCTCTTGTTTGATTATACTTTCGCTTGCCTCGCGACGAAGACTTGTTATTTCACCGTTTTTTACAATATCCGACTTTACTACTTACTTTGCATTTTATAATAATTATTGATGCCGACTTATTGACGATATTCCGAATTCCATGCTTCATTTTACATTAAATCATTTCGCGGCCTAAAAGTTATAACATTATTTGCGA